GCCAACTTAGTACAGCAGTAGCAGTCTTTTATAAACCTAGTTGCACCCCTTTTGTAATTTGACACATTCAAAACTACCATATCTTAATTAAATAAATCCACCACTTGATGAAGGGGAGCAGTAATTTCTCTGGATTATACAACACTGAATAAAACACTGAGAATCACGTATAACTCACATTAATCCTTTTTATGTGATAATCAGTTTTTGTTTAAATTTATATTGAACATTTCGTAAATAACATGGTCCAGTGCAGTTCAGGCACAATTAGACATAGGTTGCAAATTAGGAGGAATAATTGAAACACTATTTAATTTCTCCCCTACACCCTATGCTTACTTTATGGTGTACATAAGGACAGAATTTATAACAATAATTGACATAGGACTAAGATGGAGGCGCCCAGATACAAGCTTTTTATATTTTACATTATTTTTCATGTGTCACTTATATACATGAATTTAATGTAGGCGGTAAGTAAACATACAAATACTGGGAAGGGACCATTCCTCTTTGAACACACACACACACATATATATATATATATATATATATATATATATATATATATATATATAAAAAGGCGTGGGCAATAGGTCCCCCATTCTGTTTAATAGCCCCACTCGAGCGGCACGGGTGGGGGCTCGGGAGAGGGGATACTAGGTGCTGTTAGTTTTTTTTCTTTTAACAGTGAGCAGCCACAGGCTGCTCACTGTTTACAAGACATACCCCTACTTGCAGTATAGAGAGTAGGGGCAGAATTTACTAATACTAAGTAATCTTTACTCAGTATTAGTAAATTTAGCTGAAAGACCAATTTAGGTCTTTCAGCCTTTTGGTAGATAGCTCCCTGATACCGTGGGAATTAGGGAGTTATCTACCAAGCAGCTGCAAGATGCAACCACGGCACGAATAGGATCGGAGTTTCATTCATTAGAATGAAATTCCGATCCGAACAAAGTCTCAAATTGCGTCCTAACACGAATGTAGAAACTGTTCTCATACTGTTAGGACGAAATTTGGCAGTTTTGCCAGCGTCCTGTCTAAGTGACAGTAAGCATTGCGGGATTACGGATCAAAGGTGAGAATTGTGGGAAAATTGCTTTGATCATCGAAAACTAAACACACTTTGCTCCTCCACTTGTCAAAGCTGGTCAAGCGTAGGAAACCTCCATAAGACAAATAGTCCCTACTTTGTCTTATGTTTTAAAGAAAACTAGAGCAGACCGGAAGAAATGAGGAACAGATCCTGACAGAGGGAGAGAAGAGGAATCGATTAGGGAAAAGTAAGTTCAGCATGACAGTGCCGCTTTAAGCTGTAGTTGTGCTGGAGACTAGTGTCCCGTTAATTCTCAGAAATTAAACAAAAAATGCTGTCCAGCTTTAACTTCGTTGACAATGAGTGTAAAATAGAAATAATTCAAAATTTGCTTTCAACTATTTCTTAAGTTTAGAAAGTTATTCAGATTGCATGCAGTAGTGTTTTTCTGTGTGATGTAATCATGTTTTCGAATTTTAAGTTATACATTACTAGACAGGCTTAAAAGTTCCTAGCCACTGCAAGTCTGGAGAGTTAATGGCACATTCACTAGGGGTGAATTTCTGCTTGCTAAGGCTAAATTTGTACTCACCAACTGCTAGTGGAGTGTGAAAATAAGCCCTGCTAAAATAATTTTGTACTTTGTAGTATTATTCTGGAGTTCTAGTTTTGTTTTCTTAACAATACTCAATTTCTCTTTGCTCCTGTTTTGGCCTGCAGCTGGACTGAGGGAGTTATACAGGTGTATACAGGGATACACATTTAAAGGATAGGTTTATTTAATTACCGTATATACTCGAGTATAAGACGAGTTTTTCGTCACTCGTCTTATACTCGAGTCACTGTCTGTATTAGGGCAACTTACATTGCCATAATACAGACCAGGACCGCCGGGCTCATTACAAGCCCGGCTGTCCTGTTGGGGCTGGCAGCGAGCTGTAACTTACCTTTCCTGCAACTCCTGTCAGATCCCTTCTCTCTCCTCCGGTCAGTTCCCCTGCAAGTCTCGCGAGAGCCGCGGGGTCAGAGCGTTGCCACGGATTACCGTGGCAACGCTCCGCGCGCAGTCACATCGCGAGACTTACAGTGGAGCTGACAAGGGAGCTGACCGGACCGGAGGAGAGAGAAGGGAGCTGACAGGAGCTGAAAGGTAAGTAAACGCTTCCTGCCAGCCCCCTTCCTACACATCCCATGCCACTGGACCACCAGGGAATGAGAGCCCCCCTCCCTGGCCAGCTAACAAGCAGGGAGGGGGGACGAAAAAAAATAACAAAAATTTAAACATAAAAATATTAATAATATAAAAAATTTTTTTTTTAAATAATATAAAAAAAAATTAATAAAAATGCCCACCCCCCACCAAGGGTCTGCATCACACACACAAACACTGCATTCATACACACACACTGTAAATAAATATTCAATTAATATAATTTTGGGGGGATCTAATTTTATTTAGAAATTTACCAGTAGCTTCTGCATTTCCCACCCTAGTCTTGTACTCGAGTGAATACGTTTTCCCAGGTTTTTGCGGTAAAATTAAGGGTCTCGACTTATACTCGAATATATACGGTACCAAGTTGTGTCATATCTGTAGAACACTGTTCTAATTTGGGGCGATACTTTTTGATAGTTTGCATATTCTCTATGTCTTTCCCTGAGCTAACTCCAAACTAATTTTACACTGGGCAAAAAAAACTTGATCCAGAGATTTCCAATTTTTTTATTATTTAAAGGAGCCATCAATGCATTTAATTATATTGGAAGCTACACAGGTTATATTGCATGTCTATGCAAAAAAGTTAAAATATGAGACTTTTAGTGTCCAACTTCAGGAAGCGTACACATGCACGTCATTGCAAATTTGTTTAAATTGTCTATGTCCCACTTAAAAGACACATTTAGTTTCTGTAAATCTTGAAAAATACTTCAATCAATTGCTTCTTTACTAAAGGCTTATAAATAGTTTGATTACAAACCAGCACTCTCACAACTGGTAAAATGGATTATCTAGTTAAGTTAGAAGAACCAATTAAAGCACACAGGCATTAAATAATTTCAGTAATAAACCAGTGACTCGGTTCAGTCAAGTTTCCCATGCGCAGAATACACTGGGATTATGTTCCTAGCAAAGTCTGTGGATGTCCTCACAGTTTAACGCCACAATCTCTTGTTTAAGGTTGTACAACCTTTTGACCCTAAAGTGACATAGTCTGTCTACATTTATACACTGGGCTCTTCAAATCTCTCCTCCTCTGCCCCAATCGAAAAAACTAAAATGATCTGGGTTAAAATGTGAATGAAGTGCAACTTCAGTGCTCTTCTTTTCCCTCTCATAATCTTATCAAACACAAGACCACTAAGTGATTTCTGCTTAATGGTCACTTTAACTGATAATGATGCTTGTTAGCATGGATGTAGAAGACCAACTCTAACGGTGAAAAATGATTTGCAATTCTTTACACTGTGTGTTTTGTACTTTTCTATGTAAAACAGTGTAACTAGCTAATCACTGTACCTTTATAACAGTGTAATTTAATTTTGACTAAAACTAAAGTAAAACTTAAACAATCCGTTATTTTTCTGGTTTTTCACAATTTACAATTTCGGCTCATTGAGTTTGAATCTGTCCTGTCATGCAACAGTGTTTATGTATGTTTAACCTCTTTGGTACCAAAACATAGCATTACACGACAGACGGAGTTACATTCATTCAAAGTATGGGATGTATACATAAACATAGGTATACAACAGTAATTTGTGCATATATAGCTGTATTGTTTTATACATGGATTGCTTCGGGGACACTTACAGAAATAAAAAAATCAGTGGTTTAATACACTGTTTCATTTACTCGTTTATCCTTAGCCCACATAATTATTGAAGGATGTGTAGTTGTATACTGTCCCTTATTTTAACATTTTTCAGGCAAGTTCTGAAATCTTAGCATTGAAATGAATAATTGTCATATACAGTAGAAACAACATACATAGATAAATAAAAAAATGCCAAAACGCCATCCTTATGGGTATTACTTGGCAGCTTCTTACAAAATAACAAAGTGTAAAAATGTGTATCCTGTGTAGGGTTATTGCACCCTGCAATGAATCCCTGTAGTGTACATTACGTGAAGGTCGGATGTCTGCTAACAGTACCTTCAGATGCTGTATCTACTGCTATGCCAATTGCTCATATGTAAAGCCTAGGAAGCTCAAAAACAAAAAAGAATAGCTCTTTATCTATACATTGATTAGCACAGCAAAAAACAAAAAGGTTATGGTGGAAAAACAATTGTGATTGAAAACCTCTTCCACCTGAAGTCTGTGGTTAGTTAATACAACGTTAAACAAAAATCTGCACACCAGTCAAGCCATAAGACTTGCTTTTCCCATAGAAATCACAAATATGCAGTGATGTTACTACTGCAAAGGATCCTGGGTGGGCATATGCAAATCAGTTAAACAAAGAATCACATTTTTGCCTCATTACATTTTAAACATGGATTCCTTTGAGTCGGTGTTTGCTGTATACAACAGCTTTGAAACAACTTGGGAAATGTGATTCGTTGTTAAACTAATTTGCATATGCCCACCCAGAATCCTTTGCGGTAGTAACATCACTGCAGATTTGTGATTTCTGTATTAACTATCCATTGATTAGCACAGTGTATAGATGAAATGTAGATTTATTCAAGTGAGACCAAGTCACACAAGCATCACTTTTATAAAAAAGTCTAATAAAAAAAAAACTGACAGGTAATTGGTAGATCAAAGTACCTCCCACAGCTTGAATAGTAAATAAATCAGCTATGACAAGCATGAACATATATTACGAGATATCTTTAGATAATGAAATTACAGGCACATTCATATTCCATAAACAATTTTGGTTTTCTTTTTCTTTACATTAAAATCGCTCACTGCTGTGAACCATGTTAAAACCAAATTAACCCACTCCAAATTGTGTGTGTGTGTGTGTATATGTATGTATGTATGTATGTGTGTATATATATATATATATATACACACACACACACACACACACACATGAATTAAATACAGCAAAAGAATGTGGAAATATTTAAATATGTGAGGAGAGGCAGTTCCCAATTGCATGTATCATCTTAAAAGGCAGTAGAATCTTGTACCTAGGTATGATTTATGTTTTATGAATAATTTAGTTATGGGGAAGAGGTAGACCGAGATGACAGCAGTACTGGTGTCTGACCAAACAGAAAACATTGACAACTTAACACTACCTAATATTGTGGTTGGAAAAGAAAGAAAATATTTACATATTCGTGGATAGTAGACAAGGAATACAAGGTTTTAATGTACACTGCTCAAAAAAATAAAGGCAACACAAAAATAACACATCCTAGATCTGAATGAATTAAATATTCTTCTGGAATACTTTGTTCTTTACATAGTTGAATGTGCTGAGGTCTGGATTTGGAGTCACACTCAAAATTAAAGTGGAAAAACACACTACAGGCTTATCCAACTTTGATGTAATGTCCTTAAAACAAGTCAAAATGAGGCTCAGTAGTGTGTGTGGCCTCCATGTGCCTGTATGACCTCCCTACAATGCCTGTGCATGCTCCTGATGAGGTGGTGGATGGTCTCCTGAGGGATCTCCTCCCAGACCTGGACTAAAGCATCTGCCAACTCCTGGACAGTCTGTGGTGCAACGTGACGTTGGTGGATGGAGCGAGACATGATGTTCCATATGTGCTCAATTGGATTCAGGTCTGGGGAACGGACGGGCCAGTCCATAGCATCAATGCCTTTGTCTTGCAGGAACTGCTGACACGCTCCAGCCATATGAGGTCTAGCATTGTCTTGCATTAGGAGGAACCCAGGGCCAACCGCACCAGCATATGGTTTCACAAGTGGTCTGAGGATCTCATCTCGGTACCTAATGGCAGTCAGGCTACCTCTGGCGAGCACATGGAGGACTGTGCGGCCCCCCAAAGAAATGCCCCCCCACACCATTACTGACCCACTGCCAAACCGGTCATGCTGGAGGATGTTGCAGGTAGCAGAATGTTCTCCACGGCGTCTCCAAACTCTGTCACGTCTGTCACATGTGCTCAGTGTGAACCTGCTTTCATCTGTGAAGAGTACAGGGCGCCAGTGGCGAATTTGCCAATCTTGGTGTTCTCTGGCAAATGCCAAACGTCCTGCACGGTGTTGGGCTGTAAGCACAACCCCCACCTGTGGATGTCGGGCCCTCATACCACCCTCATGGAGTCTGTTTCTGACCGTCTGAGCAGACACATGCACATTTGTGGCCTGCTGGAGGTCATTTTGCAGGGCTCTGGCAGTGCTCCTCCTGTTCCTCCTTGCACAAAGGCGGAGGTAGCGGTCCTGCTGCTGGGTTGTTTTCCTCCTACGGCCTCCTCCACGTCTCCTGATGTACTGGCCTGTCTCCTGGTAGCGCCTCGATGCACTGGACACTACGCTGACAGACACCGCAAACCTTCTTGCCACATTGATGTGCCATCCTGGATGAGCTGCACTACCTGAGCCACTTCTGTGGGTTGTAGACTCCGTCTCATGCTACCACTAGAGTGACATTCAAAAGTGACCAAAACATCAGCCAGGAAGCATAGGAACTGAGAAGTGGTCTGTGGTAACCACCTGCAGAACCACTCCTTTATTGGGGGTGTCTTGCTAATTGCCTATAATTTTCACCTGTTGACTATCCCATTTGCACAACAGCATGTGAAATTGATTGTCGCTCAGTGTTGCTTCCTAAGTGGACAGTTTGATTTCACAGAAGTGTGATTGACTTGGAGTTACATTGTGTTGTTTAAGTGTTCCCTTTATTTTTTTTTGAGTAGTGTATAAGCCTGGCCCTTGCCACCAATGTTAATCCACTGAAGCTCACCTTGGCTTCTTATTGGATAATCGAGACGTAAATAAAGCAATTATGCAGACAATGCTAAATAACAAAAGCATATTTCACAAAAATGTTTGATTATACGAATAGTGAAAGAAAAGAGGGATGATTTTTGGAATAGATTGGGAAGAGGTAGAGGACTAAATAAGTAGAGAGATATACATAATCAAAAAGACAAGATGACATCCTCAGCAAATTAAAGATACAGCAACAGAGGGCAGTCCTGTTGAGATCCAGCAGTATTGCAGCAGAGATGGCAATACACAAAAGAACAAACATTTATGACATAGGATTAATATAAGAAGCATGGCAATAATGGCACCCATGAACATGAGGCTAAGGAGAGCACAGTAAAACATCCTAAATTATAAATGTCAGCATTGTTTTGTTTGTCATTTATTTGCTGTATTATGGGTTTGCACTTTAAAAATGAAAATAACAATAAGATATTTGAGTATGGCCATCCTCTAATAACAGCACTGTGAATAAGCAGAGAGGCCAATGAAAGGCACAAATAGGAATATTGATGGAATCCTGAAACACTGGGCAGCACCAGCACTCACTCACACACCCTGCACTGAGCAAAGACCACCTACAAGTTGTATTTTAAAACTATAGGGTCAGGAATACAGGTTTGTATTCCTGACCCTATAGTGTTCATTTAAATATGCATTTTTAAACTCCGCCTTCCGTATATATCATGATATATGAGCCATTTTTTTTTCTGTCTTCTATGTAGTTTATGCTGCATGCTCAGGTCCAACATTCAGGCAAAAATTAGGTAGTTTCACCAGCAGTGACAGAAACATTTAGAATATTGTTATTCTGTTCAAATTAACCAAAAACAAATATAAACTAGAAGTCTACAATATGATTTTTATAAAATGTTTCACCACCACTATAAACAACCCATGCAAATAAAAATTATATCTGCAGGTAACTAAAATTGCATCTTTCATACATTTAAAAAAAAATTAAAAATAAAAATCTATATTAAGAGGCAGTCGGGGAGTGTGTTATGTCCACATGTATTTTATGCGCTGCTTGACTGTCCGTACTCTGAACTCCTCCACATGTTTTTATATTGTACCTTTAAAAGGTAGTACAAAGAATTTATCTATAAATATTGTCTATGGTTCAAATTTTCCTTTCTGGTTTTATTTTTAATATTCAGCACCAGCTGCCCACTTGGTAATTTTGCATATCTGGAGACAAAATAAGCTATTTAACAGAGCTGCTCTTCGAAAGAAAAATGCCAAGAAAGTAAACCAATGATCCTATTAGTTCCAGTAGACTTAAATCAGAGGGGCAACGTATGTGGTCCTTGCACACACATCTGTCATTATCCGCTCGGATTCTATAGTATGCAAAGGTCTAAAATTCATTCACAATAAATGAATAAATGTGAATATAAAAATAAGATATGGATTAACAGACAATTGATACACAGATATCAAAAGAAATAGACAAACAGATATATACATATATACACACATAGAGAGAGAGAGAGAGAGCATAAGAGACAGACAGACAGAAAAATAGGATGGATGGATGAATAATGCAGAGGGCAATGTTTTTTTGTTTTTTTTAAAACCTGTCATGTACATATCAAGTACAAGCAAAGCAACATTTCTAAATTTCACAAAGAAAAAAAATCTACAACTAAAATTATTTTAAAAAACAAACAAAAGAAAACACAGGTTATACGTTGATAAAAAAAAATTTCAAAATAATTCTGAAGAAATTAAAGTTGGTTGCAGGCTGAAGTGAGAGAAAGAGACAAAGTGAGTGCTTTATGTTATGTTTAAATCAGCCGCATTTGTATTATCAAAGCATTGGCTGCTTAATTTATAAACAAGAGTCACGTTTTCCATCCCCTCCCTAATGCTCAATAATGGAGTCTCACAAACACATTCACAGACACCCAAGTGGATTGGCAAGTGACAGAAGCTCTGCTAAATCCTCTGTTTACACTAGGGATTAACAGAGTAGCTTTTCAGAAGCAAACTGTGCTGCCCATGGTCAAGGGAACCTGCTCCCTTCCAGCCCGTAGGGCACAGAGACAAAGGCCAGTCCAGGTAGGAAGTGACCCATAAACCTATTCTTAGCAGGGATTTATACAGAGCCTGTCTGTCTAATAGAAACTCCGTAAGACCACTAACTGGCCTGCAAGGCCTGCCAGGAGGCCTAATTACAGGTCTACAGAGCCAAATAACAAAAGCCGGAGAGATTTAGTCTAAGGATGATCTGCTTTATACTGACTTAAAAGACTCCATACAGAGCGACTAAAATAAAGAGGTTTAGCAGAAAGTTGTCCCTGGAGACGACGCAATGCAAGCTGGAGTAGAAAAACCAACCTTCTTCAGATAGGCTTAAAATACTGCACTGTCTCTACATTAACATTCAGATACGACTTACTTAACATCTGCTCAAACACAGGAAGTGGCTGTGATATTGTTAGGCTAAGCAGAAGAGACTATTCTTGTATATACACATTAGGAAATCTAAGTAAACAGCCATCATCTTGTGACCAGTCCTCTGAGCACTCTGTTAAGTAAAATGAGCCCTGGCCTCCAATTAAGCCATGTTTGCTCACACGTACGAAAGTGTCAGTCAGCAGACACAAGTGAGCATACACAGCAAGCTTTCTTGTGCTAATCTGCTAGCACTGCAATGGCTTGTTATCCACTTCTGAACGAAGACTACAACTCTGGCAATAAGAGGCAAAGTGTGTATTACCACGCGGAAAACAAAACATACACACACATATACATTATATATATATTTATATATATATATATATATATATATATATATATATACACACACACACACACACAATATGTATATAATGTATATAGTTTTCAACGTATATTTTTTAAAGAGTTCACTTGACAAGTTTTGTAATTTTTATAATCAGCTTTGGGATTCATCCTTGCTTTATTCAAGAGGACTCATTTTCGGCACAACACTGTTAAGTAAGCAGTAAACTGCATTTGGATTCACAGAGAGCAGTCAAATGGCTGCTGCTATCCATTTATAACACAGTTCCAATCATCCTATTTGATGATTTGAACAGCACTTTCGGAATAATTTATCACATAATCCCCTGTTGGAAAATATGGAGTAAGGTTA